ATGCCCGCTCCTGGGGCCCCTGCTTCAGCTCCCCCCCCCCCGGCAGAGGCGCCCCCGCCTGGTGGGGCTGGGAGGAGCCCAGAGCCGGGCTGCTGGGTCCTGGTGACAGCCCCGCTGCTGCAGCTTGGGGATGAGCCCCGGGGCGGGCCCCTTCCGGCGCTGAGGGGCCCGGGCGGCACCATGAGGATCAAGTTCAGCAGCCTCGCTCTGTTCGCAGCCCTCCTGGGTGTTTTAAGTTTCAGCTTCCTGGTGGCGGCCCTCGGGACCGACTTCTGGTACATCATCGACGCCTCCCCGCTGGAGCGCAACAAAGCCGCGGGGGAAGCCGGCAGGGGGGCAGGCCCGTCTTCCTGGTCTGCAGACCAGGGAGGCGCGGAGCAGCTTTTCTTGCCGGGGAGTACACGGGCGGCAGGACCGCGCGGTCCCACAGTCTGTGTTCGTAACTGCGGATCCGACATAAGTCGGATCCGCGTAAGTCGGGGACTGCCTGTAAAAGCTAGTTTTAGAATAGCAAAGAGTTCCCAATTTGGGCCTCAATTCTGCAATCGGATTCAAGTATTCAGAACTCTGCTAAAAAGTCAGTGGGGCTCTGCATGGAGGCAAGGATCTTCCTGACCAGATCCAACTGCAGGATGAGGGCCTTACAGTTGATACTCTAGAACTGAAGTTAAAAATGGTTGGAGGTCCCCAAGCTAACGCTGAAAGGGCACTTGTGGGGAACAAGCATTTTAATATCATTTTCTTTTTCTCCTTTCATTTCTGACTTTCTTCATCACATGCTATACCAGATGTCAAGTACTTTATATTATATCATTGGGACACTGGGGATTCTGCCACTGACTTCATTTACAATGGATGAAGAGATTATTTTTTTAAGTTACTCTTTCAGTCAAGAGATCCCATCTGCGCTCTGTGGAGAGTTGGTGTTTAATTTGACTTGAACAGCTTGCTACCCACCCCTGTACTTATGAGGCGTAACATTAAATACAAATCTCATCTAATACATTACAAATTCGCATCAATACAGTGGTAAAAATACTAACCAGTGGAGGAACAATAATGTAGAAGTTGCGCAAATGCATGTTCTTTGGACTGCGGAATTCAGGAGCAAACACGTCAACAAGCATTTTGAAGTACTCTGTCCCTTCTGCAGAATTACGTGTGAGATCACTGAGGACACAATCCAATTGCCTGCAAAGAATGAGAAATTTTCTTACCTGATCATTTTCTGTTTCATAGCACTTCTCCTTATTCATCAATAATATTTAGTACCCCACTTATGGGATTTGGACGCAGTCCGATGTTTGTTGCTAGAGGCTCCAGAGACCCAATCTTTCAGTCCAAACCACCAGACACACACTTGCAGCTGATTATTAGTATTAAAACAACTGGGTATAATGTATTAAACAACATAAAAAATGGTGTCTAACTCTGCCTTTAGAGAAAAATTCCATATTGCATTGTGGTAATTTATCAGATTGTCAGGGTGGCTGAATGAGGAGAGAAACTGCTAACAGAAACAAAATTATAGATAAATTTCTTGTTCTGTTGCACAACTTCTCTCCTAATTCATCACTAATGGGAAGTAGCCAGCAGTGAATATTAGAAGGGAGGGATAGAATACAACTATTATTATTATTATTACCACATTAGAATAAAAGGCAGAAAGGGAAATGTTTCTGCCCATATAAAGCAAGGATTTAGGTAGAACCAGCACAGAAGCACTCACCTACCAAACTACTGCCTCTTGCAGATGAATGAAAACTTACTTTGCAACTCTTCAGATGAGGCTGACACACATTTTCCCCAATGCTCCTAGAGACTTCTGTGAATAGTTTCCCAGATTCCTTGCATTCCCGCTGTTTCAAGATATTAACATCTTGCCTACAGCAACTTTCAGGCCATAGAGTCTTGGCATTTTGGATATAGTGAGCTGGATATACAACTGGATATACAATTGGCTTTTGTACCACATGTGCTTGAGATATATCTTTATAGTTCTAGGAATGCCCATGTATTTCACATACTCCCAAAGAGATCAACAAATGGTCTGGTAGCACTTTATAGACTAACAAAACATATAGATGGTATCATGAGCTTTTGTGGGCACAGCCCACTTCTTCAGATGACCGGAGTTTTGAGTTTAGAATGTGAAGACCCAAAATGAATAGGGAAGAAAGGAAAGGGGGGGGAAGGGGGAAAGAAAATATCAAAGGGAAAACAAGTAGGCAGAGTTGGTAGTCTATAAGCATCTAAAGATTGGATAGTTAAAAGAAGCAGATAAGAATCACAGGATAGCAATTAGATAGGAAGGGTACTAATGCAAGAATCTACACAGACAAAGAGCGAACAGAGGTCTCAAACTCAGTTTACCTAAGGGCCTATGCCAGACCTCAAATCCTCCTAGTGAGCAAGTAGGCACCCCCTGGCAGGGCTTGGTGCGGGGGTGAGGGAGAGGCATAGAGTTCCATGCATATCTACCTTCTCCCTTCCCCCTCCCCCGCATCTCCTGGCCCTGCTTGCTGGCCCACATGCACCTCCCACCCCACCTACTGCACCTGGATCATTTAAAACCCACTGCCACCCCCAACAGTGCATCAGGGCCAGAACGGCTACTAACTGTTGGCAGCAGCATGGCGCTAGCGTATCCCTGTGTGCCAAGCCATCCTCTTTATGAGGTGGGGAACTGATTCATGAGTTTTAATCTCTTGGGTTAGCAATACAATATATGCAAGTTGATAATGTCTCCCTCTGAGTCCAGAGACCAGGAGCCTACAAAAGACATGAAACGATGAGTCCTCACCCTGACACCCACATGACCTGTGCTGGGATGGCCCTCCCTACAGCTAATATCCGGACTCTTACACTGTGATCCCACCTGCCTCATCTTGCTAACGTCCACACACTCGCACTGGGATCTCAGATATACTGTAGGGTGTGAGAGAGACGGTGAGCCTGACAGAGAACAATGAAAGTTGTCATTAAGAGAAGAGCACCAGCAAACACTCCTTTAAGGGAAGAAGGTGGTGAAGTCAAAGGAGAGGTGACTTGACCCCAAATTTCCCCCCCGCACTTGCTCATTAGAGATGTTGCTAGCTTTTAGTTTGTGGGATCCCAAAACCCCAGGGTTAGCTAGAACTACCCCTCAGTATCAGGAGAATCCCCAACAAAGGGGAGTGGGAAACACAACTTCCTCCCCCAGAGAACAGATAGAGAGGGAGCAGCCCAGGGCAGCTGCAGCCCGTCTGCAGGGTGCCCGAGTTCCCCATTGACAGAGGCTGCTCTGCGGCTGCCTTCCCTGCCCCCAACCCTCATGCTGTTGCTTCTGATAGAGACAATAAGTGGGGGTGGGGGAGAGACAGGGGCAGGTGGGTCCTCAAAGCCAGCACATGCAGAGAACCACCTTAATAGCCGGCTCCTTGCACGTATCAGCGGTCCCCCCCGCCTGCCTCTATCAGAGGCATCAGGGGGAGGGCGGAGGGGCAGGTGAGATCCGGTGCTCATGGGGAACCAGCTTAAAACCTAGCTCCCCACGGGCACCAGCTCTCACCTCTCCCTTGCTGCTTCCGATACAGAGGCAACAAGGTGGGGAAAATGCAAACAGCCGACAGGATTAACTGATAAACCTAGGCTTATTGGTTAATTGTGTAGTCATCTACATGATGACATCCCTAATGGCAAAATAGTAAAACTTTCCATAACGCCTCAATACACTCCTCTGTTAAACTCAGAATAGGCACCTAGATGAAATGAAAAATAAATTTAGTATTTGCCCATGGCAGAAATTAAGAAAGCTCATGTTTTGTTAACTGGATCTATAGCCAGCTAACAGATGAAGATTAACATCCAAAGACTTAGAACAAGAAGGGGATCATTTTAGCAGCAGGTAAAGCATATGGGCTATAAAGCAGCAAGTTTGTTTGTTCTCCATCCATAGCCCCAAAAATGGCAGTTTAAGATTTGTTTTTCAGCTAGGCTGTGAATGGTGACTATCAAAAAGTTTTGCCATTGAGATATTCCCTGCACCCATTGCTGGTCTCACACTAAACAAGGAAAGAAAAACAACAGAAGTCTAAGCTTGAATCACTTAATACAAACATCAGTGTTCAGAACACATTTTAGCAAGTGTGGTTCAGATAGGCCACCCCTGGCTACTGTTATTCTTTATATGAGAGAATGCTTTTGACAAGAGCCCAATACAGCTGAAAACAATAGATTTCTGCTACACATTTTACCAATATGTTTCAAATGGAAAGTGCTCATTTTCCTCCATTCCTTCCTCCACATAAGCCAAGATAGTCATGTGGTGATTTCCCAGAGTCCTCAATCATATCTGAGCGGAACTTGGAATAGGATTAGTAATGCAGATTTGTTTTTAAAGTTTCTCAGTAAACTCAAAGTAGATTTCTAAAACTTAAAGACATTTTCAGACTAAAGAACTTCCCTCACCAAATGAGAATTTTAATGAGCAGCTGATTTCCAAATGGATCTGACTGGTACAAATGTCATTTTCTGTCTAGCATCTTTAAAGCAATAGTTTCTATTGTTTCAGATTAAACAAAAACATCTACATTTCATTTCACCTTTTGTAAAGCACTTGAATTTTTTGAATAAGAAAGGTGCCAAACACAAGTTTCTTTTTAAATAACCTTGCCTTCCCACATCTCAAAACACAAACTAGGGTTACCTTGCAGCTTTTTGCGTTTCTTCCGAGAGTCCTTCTTCTTTCACTAGTTCTTCAAAATTAACAATATCTTCAAGATCAGGAACAAACCTACACAATTACTGTATGTTAAATCTATATTCAACTGAGCTTTACTCACTTATGCATTAATTAAGTTAAATTATAAATAAATTTCACAATATCCTTGCTTTCAAGGCTCTGGCACGCCTCTGCTTTCATCTTCCATCTCTCTCTCTCTCACCCAAGTTCTGTTAATTCCACATCCAGACATGTTACCCTTCTGCCTTTCTTCCACAAAAGTCTTTGTAATCTCCCCCATGCTGCCCTGTTATCCTGCAGCGTGCTCCCCTATTGAATGTGTCACATAGGGTCCCACTCCTCCAAAAACCATCTTTCAATCATGACCATACTTCCACACAATCCAAATAAAATCACAGCTATAGAACAAAAGGAAACATGATGATCATATTGAGAAAACAGCCAGCCTCATAATATTGAGCATAAACCACCCATTCCTGTCACCTTATGCAATCTCTGTTCGTGCTATATATCAGTGGCTCCCAACCTTTTTGATACCAGAAACCAGCAAACCCATTCACAAACTTCTGGTGGACCAGCATCACGTTATTTGCATATTTATTATGCAAATGATGAATATGCAAATAAAATGTTACTGGTCTGCCAAAAGTCTAGCCTCCAGAGCCCCTAGTGCCAGCCCTAACCCTTAGAGTCCCCATCCCTCCATTACCCCCCTGCTGCTAAACAGACCCCCGAGTTCCTTGTACCTAACCCTCCCGGTGCCAGCCCCCCACCTCTTAGAGCCCTCTCACTACCAGACCCCTGAGTATCAACCTCCTGTTTCCAGAGCCGCACTGCACACAACCCTCCCTCCCCCCCAGAGCCTCCCCAGTGCCAACCCCCAATATTAGCCCTGTCCCCAGAGGCACACAGTGCCAACCCCTTTCCCATAGCCTCCCCGCACTACTGTTGGGAGTGGTGTGTCCTGCCCCACCTCTCAGCCTCTTCTGTGGCTGGGAGGAGACCCCACCCCTGCCCGGCACTGGTTGGCTGAGAGGTAGGGCAGGACAGGACTCTCTCAACAGCCGCAACAATGGTATACCCCAGCCCTGGTCCCCAGAGCCACCTTGGCCTGGCAGTGGGCCAAAGCCCAGCAGCTGGGAACCACTGCTATACACCATATGATATAACACCTAGCTTGTAAACTTTCAAGACACAAACTGTGTCTTGTTCTCTCTGTAAAATACTATGTACACTATGGCACTTTATACAATGATAAATAACCATCTTGGCCTTTAAGAGCTCACCTATATAACATACTATGGTATACAAAAGGTTATGGTTTTTGTAGTTTAAGGACTCCAGTTAGTCAATTTTGCAACATAAGGGATTCTGAACTAGTTTGCAGGACAAGGGATACAATTCCTTTGTATCTTTATACATGGGATCAGACACTTTTCAAAACTCAATCATTACCTAAATGGAGAGGAATAGCTTAACTGTGTTTGTAAACTCTTCAGGACAGGGAGAATCTCATTTACTCATTTCCTTGGAATGCACAACATTCATATGGAGGCTCAAAAATATGGGATGTGCCTGGAATGTGACTGTTTCTCATAAAATGGAAAGGGAGGAGTCTGGTAGAAGAGAGTTATAGCCGAATAACCACAGGGGGCCAGAGATGGGGACTGGGACTGCTATAACCCTGTTGGATCAGCAGGAGGCAGGGGTGGAAAAAAAGGGACAGTTATCTACTATATTTCAGAGAATTTGTCTGTCTGTGTGCACGTGTCTCTGTCCCCCAGCCAAGGGACATGCACCCTTCCCCCCGGCTGTGCTCCCTACAGCTGCAGCAGCCATGGATAGGAACGTCTCACCTGGCCCCAAACTGCTGAAGTGAGAGAGAGCTGGGGTTGTCTTTTCTCCCCAGGGCAACCTGCATATTGAACCCCATATCCCCAGCCCCACCCCAGAGCAATTATTTAAATGAAGAAAAACAAAAAAAACTTATTTAAGGACCAAAGCAACTCTGGGTAAATCCTCTAGTTATAAAATAAGTTAGCTCCGTTCTCTGGGTTTGCCTTACAAGTCCTATGGGGTGTCTCTTGCTGTTTTATGCAGCAAATGACTCATTTGTACAGTGCCTAGAATATATTTTAAATGCACAATTCTTTAACGTGCTGAGCTCCTTAGTTCCAATATATGTGCACAGGACACAATGGTACAGTGAAACCTTTGTTATCCGGCACTCTGTTAACCAGAAAACTTTGTTAAACAGCATTGCCCCCAACCACAATACCATCACATTTTCAGGTGCACAGAACTGGCTTGCGCAGCGAGGAGTCCTGTGGCACCTTATAGACTAAATGAAGTGTAGGAGCATAAGCTTTCGTGGGCAAAGACCCACTTCGTCAGATGTGGCTTGGTATACCATGATTGGCTTAACAATTTTTTATTTAAGAAGTACTAATCATCTTTAACTCAAAATAGAAATGTCAGATCAACTGCCTCACACTACAAAACTAACAATATTAAAAACTTGAGTTTTACTATAATTGTCCATTGGTTTTTCCTAGGTTGATGGGACCCTCAGATAACTGGAATTTTTAGAAAACCAGAACACCCTGATCTCCAAGCGTGCCAGATAACATGGTTTTACTGTACTTAGTTCCTTGCAAGTTCAGTGCTAAATAATGTACTAGCTGGTCTTTTGTTCTTCATTGTAGGACCTCGCTCCTTAAGAAGGTCAATATAAAATACAGAGTATTTTAAGATACAACGATGTCCCGGAAAGTGCCATACTTATCAAAATACTCTTCACACTTCTGAGTCAAATGATGCATAAATGAAAAAACGGACTTTCCTAAGGGAATATCAGTATGAATTGGTAGCACAGGGATATAAAAATACTTGGAGCAGCATGAAATACACTTATGTAGGTACCTAATTGCACTACTACAGCAGTGAAGTCCACCAGATCTTATCATTCGCACATAGCCCATTGCATTGCCTTTAAAAAGAGAAAAACAGGATAATTCCTAAAGTTAGACAGTAACATATACGTACTTCAAAAGCCCCATTAACTCTGAAATTCTGATGCCCTAGGGTAGCCAGAATGATTTTTAAAACAGAAATATTCTGAAGCTAATTTCATAGAGAAAAAATGCAAATGTTTTTAGGTTTAATGGCACAAAGTCCAATAAGAAGAACAAAACATGAGCCATGACTAGCTTCATCTAAGTAGATTGTGCTCACATGCACACTAAAGTCCAAATCCTGCAATAAGATACAATTGGTAGGATGTGTTGGGAACATCAGACTCTAGAAGCCTATATTCCATTGGGGCATCAGGATGTTGAAAGTATTACTAACTAATAAATCAAATTTAGCTATTATAATCTATGTATATCTTTGTATTTGATTCAAAATGCCTTTTGAAACTGAGTTTAAGGGTATGGTACTTCTCATTTAGTGGAAAAGATAATAAACGTGGATGAATACTGATTGAACCCAAAGCAAATAAAAAAAATCCATAAAAGCTCTAGGTAAAACTTATTAATTAACAAAAATAGGTCTTGAATGTTTTAAGTAAAACTCCAATTACTTTAACGGAAGTGCACTTGCTTATATTAGGCTTGAATTTAAGGCTCAGTCTGAAAATATAGGTAAAATAAGCAGTGTAGTTCTGCCATTAAAATGTTTGTACCAAATTTTTAGATAAAAAGTTGCATACCTATCTGACTTATGAGCTGCCTGAATTGGTCAAGGTAACTTTGTCCGTCAGGTGTTATTCCAAGCTTTCTGATGCCTCGGTTGAACTTCTCCGCTCTCTCAAATGGATACTAGAGAAACAATTTTTGCATAGTTAGTAAAAATATCCATCTTTGAAAAATTTACTTGACCTTATATGTGAACGCTATTTTACCTTCCATACACTCTCCCTCCCACAAACTCCTTTTATCTTTTAAAGTATAATTCTGTCTATGCATAATAGTTTGTGAAAGCATCATTGACTAGGTCAGGTATGCAAATTGAAAAGATAAACAGATCTGTTACTGCTATATATACAAGAAAGCAATCTTCTTATACAAGCTGAAACTCCCTAAACTGGGACTCTGGTCCATAGTCTGGCAACATCCATAGTCTGGCAGAGATGTTGCAGCACCAGAGAGTCCTGGTGAGGGGCAGCAGTAGCTAGCCCTATGGGGCTGGCAGGACAGCAGACTGCCCACAGCAAATTGCTTGAGGGGCTGCCTAGCGCAGAGTAGCAGGACTGGGAGACCTGGCATTTGGCTGCCCACTGGGGCTGGGAGCTCCAGCAAACAGCTGCAGGCAGCCCAGTGGAGCCAGGAGCTCTAGAACATGGCTGCAGTGGCCAGAGAGAGCCCAGAGCCCCAGCGAGCAGCTGCCCGGGGAGGGTGGGGTGGGAAATGCTGCTACGCAGCTGCCTGAGGGAGCCGAGAGCCGTGGTGTGTGGCGGCCTAGGGGGGGGTGACAGG